AGAATTGGCGAGGGGGAGGAATACATGTAATAAGGGAATAAATTGCAGAGAGATGACGTGACGCTGAACTCCATAGACGTCATGTAGCTACTTGTATGAAACTTGAAGTTCACGACGCAATCATGCACTGTAAAAGAGCCAAAGGTGAAGAAAGCAGAACCAGGCCCAACGGTAGAAATTGTGAGAAAAATGTATCAATCCGGACGTGTGCGTGGAGAACACGACACCAGAGCGAAATGGGGGCTGGGCATGGTCCAGATCACAGACGAAATATTCACGGGGTGCCAGGATTTTGGAACCAGATACCATGATATCCGGATCAACCAAGAGTGTTATGTAGACGTCCAGATAGGAGGACGAACATACCAGAACCGCCCAGAGTTGTCAAGGAGATGGGGCGTCGAGTCCAGATGGTGAGGTGCACGGTTAACCGAGTTAGGAGAGGGGAGGATTCAGTAATTGGGATCAGGATAGAGAACGGGAGGAGTTAGGTAGTTACAGCACGATGTGCTCAGGTGCCGTGGGATTGGGACGATGAGGGGGTGCGGCATAGACAGTCCGGACGTAGCGGGCGTCGGGAGCGACGTCCAGATGGGAGCAGGAGGCGACAACGAGAAAGCGGGGAGTTCGGGCACCAGGGCGCCGCGGCGTCGCGTCCTGAGTAACGGTTTGCGTCCTGTACGTCCGGTGCATCTGATGCACAGGACGCACAGGACGCAAGTATCTATTTTTGCTGATGTCTCTTATACTGGTATAACCAGCAGCTCCGCCGCAAACAGCTTCCTCAGGCTCATTTCTCTGCCAAGGTCTCATGGCTCACGAGGATCGATTGGGCCATTTTTACTTGTAATTGGGACAGGTATGCTCTCACTCTTCCCTCTTAATAGCATGTATTTTGAATTTTACTAAGGTTTTGGAAATCATCCAAATACACAGAAAATGTCTACAAAGGGGACCACATTTCCAATCTTGGGGATTTATATCCAGGGTTAAACATTTAAAAGATAGGAAGATTAACCGGAGTAACTCGTGGGAAAGTCAATAAAGCTGTGCTCTTACATTGGGATAACGGTTAGAACAGACAGGGTCTGAGGGTCAGGTAGCCCAAGGTACACCACAATCAGGACAGGCAGGACTCTGGAGACAGGGTCTAGGTGTAGGGGCACAACCGAAGTGGGTTGTACGAGGTTCAGGATTCAGGGGATCAGGGTCAGGGTTCAGGCGTTCACGAGGACGCCAGATAGTAGAGAGTGTAATTCCTAGGTACAGGTGTCTAAAGGAGATTACCAGATTGCATAAAGAATACAAAATATAAGGGGGCATATCCCCTTATATAAAAGAAAACCATCCCTGATCACTAATACAAAGGAAAACTCTTGGTGTCGCGCGCAGCTGTGATATCTCCATCACGTTCTGTTAAGTTCCATCACGCCGTAACGCATACTGTTACACATAGGAACACACAGACCTTCCCCGCGCACAGACCTCCCGAAAACCGCGAAAAATCCATGGCCAACACCCCCCTCCGGCCCCGCCGGTCGCCCTGCACGCAGTAGTAGAGTCGCCGGAATTTGGTGTCCCGACAGTATAAACCGGTTGCAACGAAGCATGCTTCATAACACCGTATACGTCGTCGCCGTCCGTCCGACCGAAAGATGTTCGCAGGATATATAAGAGGGGACCTCAGGCCGTGTCTGAAAAGTGGAATGGAGTCAATCGGACGGGTAACCACGGAGCTATGAGCTAAGCGAGATTGACCATCACAGACATGGACAGAAAGTGTTGGGACGAAATCACCAACAGTCCAATGAGTTATCGGGACGTGCCCGTATAGACAAGGCACGGGGCCCAGTCTAACGCTCACATAGTATAGTGCCAACCGGAGGCCTATCTATGGTTGAGGGACTTTCTCACGACGTTGACTAGTCCAATCGTGGCGGAAAGTCCTCAATGTTGATGCAGTCAAGTTGCAAAGTCATGGTGCATTGATAAGTCTCCCGACAGAGCTGATCACTCCAGTCAGAATTAGGAGGACAGCGAGTTGGCTCGAAGCGAGACCACTCGTTTGTACTTAAACCTCCGAGACGAAGGGATCATGCGTTTTCGCCGGAGAGGTTTCAAACGCCCTCACGGAAACACGACAACGCATGGAGACCGTAGTTCGAGCAAGACACAAAGTTTATCAGGGTCAAACGGATGCCCATTACGGAAGTAAGGGTAGGAAAATAGAAAGGGTACATTATTTGGTATAAGATAGATGTAGCCCGCGACCACCCAGACGCGGAATATAAATATCGAGGTGCCTCCTTAGCTTTCAGACATCCTCCGTCTCCGCTACACCTCCGGCGATTGAAAACTCAACACCACGGTTTTTATCGTGAGTTTTTTGTTTCGTCGCGAAACCTTCTCCTCCCTCCCGCCCACTCCTGCCTTTGGCCTCGGCCTAGGGGAGTCTGGCTCCTCTCTCCTCTCCCACCCGGAGGTATTGACTTCGGTCTACCGTCCCTGGGTCCTCTCTCT